CTGAACTCCATCACCAAGCACTGTTCTAAGTGCTTCAGTCTACAACAAAGCCCTGTGAAATGTGTTCTGTTATGACCCCCCTATTGTTCATGCAAAGCACCGAGAGGTCATACAATTAGAATGTGAACACAAGCGTCTATGTTTTTTTTAGCATTACACTATTTTGTTACTGAACAATATTTCCCTGTCCCCATCTATACTAGAGGAGGATTTAATTTGTGAGGGTAAACTTTTAGGGTTTGTTTGTTTGTTTATACTAATGGACATGAAGGACTACATTTGGAATGGTGGTGTGAGGACCTCTGAAAATCTGTCCCTTTGTAAAAACAAAATTAACTTTTTCAGAACTCTGGAAATTAAATAAAGGCCTTCAGTAAACCAAGGAATGTGTATTCAAGAAAAATGCATGAATCTCAGTAAGAACATTTCAGTGGCATTTTAATTTGTTCTAATCCCACCCTCTCTTCCTAGTTCTGTAGTAGCTTCAGAAACCAATGGCCTCGGGCCTCCCCGGTGGCGCAGCGGTTGAGCGCTGGGTTGCGAAGCTGCCCGCGGCCTCTGCGGCGCCGGTTCGATCCCCGGCTGCTCCCCGGCCACCGGCGGAGGATCCCACATGGCGCGCAGACCTCTCCTGCCGCCCGCTGCTCCCCTCAGCAGTGTACTTCGGTCCTTCTGCCTGCTCTGCTCCCCGCTCTGGCTCTGGTGAATTCTCTCACCCTCCCGCGCTTCTGACTGTACCCAGTGCATGTATAAACAAAACAAACAAACAAACAAAATAAATAAATAAAACATGCCTCTATAAAAAAAAAAAAAATAAAAAGATTTAAAAAAAAAGAAACCAATGGCCTCACAATTATGGGAGCTATGTACACTATGGTAGTCCAGCATCCACTGGAGAGGGCAGCATGGATTTGCACCTGCCTAAATCCTCCATCCAGAGTACTGTCATGATGTAATCCCTGGCAGTTTACTGAAAAAATTTCAGTTTCTGAATTTGTCTTTATTTTGACCTTACTCAGAACTCCCTCTGTGCAATCTTGTATCCAGGTTCATTAATCTATTGAAACAATCAGCAGCAATTGTTTAACATTGCAGCTGCCTGAGGCAACATAGACAGTTGGGGCTGATAGGTCACTGATAGTGACCAAAAATTAAAAGGAAAAAACGGGTAAAGGAACTTTGAAAATCTCTGACATATTCCTGGAATTTTAAATGGCATGCACATATGCAGGACTAAGTGTATGACCAGGAAAATCTGGAGAAGGCCCTACTCTCTCACTTGTGGCTGATCTTGAAGCTCTGCAAAAGCAGGGAATTGTAAATGGCCTGTTGGAGTGTCAAAGGCACTCTCAACAAAAACAAAGTGCCCCTTGGCAAAGGCAGGCAAGGGGACCTGTAGGGTTCAGTGCACTTAAGAAAATCTCTGTCTAATCATTAGCTGACCACTAAGCTAATCAGGCAGAGACTTCAGTGGCTGCACACAGCAAAGAAAACAGAATTTGTCCAGGAAAGTCTCGAAATAAACTTCAACCAACCACAATAGCAAACTGCAACAGTAACAAACCACAGGGAGGAGTGAATCTGATTTCTAGAGTTGCCACATTGTATTCTTTAAAAAGTCTAGTTCCAGGGGCCTCCCTAGTGGCATAGCAGTTGAGCACAGCGCTGTGAAGCTGTCTGCATCCTCCGCAGTGCGGGTTCGATCCCAGCTGGCTGGGTGAGAATCCCACATGGTGAGGCGGACCTCTCCTGTCTCACCTGCTGCTCCCCTCATTAGTGTAATTCTGTCGTCTGCCTGTTCTGCTCCCTGCTCTGTCTCTGGTGAATACTCTCACCCTCCTGCGCCTCTCTCTGGCCTGTACTCCAGCTCTTGTATAAAAATAAATAAATCTTTAAAAAAAAAAGTCTAGTTCCAACAACAACAAAAAGTATAAGGCAGGCAAGCAAACAGGAAAGTGTGGTCAATGTGCCTTTAAAAAAGCAGTCAAGGACCTCCCTGGTGGCACAAGGGGTTAAGCACTGCACTAAGAAGCAATCCACAGCCTCTGCAGCACAAGTTCGATCCCTGGCTGCCAGGAAGCAACTCACATGGTGCAGCAGTCCTCTCCTGTATCATCTGCTGCTCCCCTCAGCAGTGTATCTCAGTCATTCTGCCTGTTCTATTCCCCTCTCTGTCTCTGGTGAATCCTCTCATCCTCCACACCTTTGGCCTGTACCCCTGTTCTTGCATGCATAAAGAAATAAATCTTAAAAAAAATTTAAAAATCATGTGTAAAGAACTAAAGGAAGTAATGAGAATAATGTCTCACCAAATAGAAAATTTCAATAAAGAGACAGAAATTATTTCATACAAAAAGAATCAAATAAAAATTTTGTAGTTGAAGAACAAATTAATAATACATAATTCACTAAAAGACAAAAACAGCAGATTAAGATGTCATATGGAGTTGCATGAAGTCATATGAAGTTGCCTAAACTAGGAGTCTAAAACTAAAAGAGCTAGGGTACTTGAAGACTGGTGACTGATATTGCCACAAAAATTGTATATGACATGCCTGACCTCAGGGAGTCAGAGCCATGTGGTCTATCAGCTTTCCCATCCTGGTTATCTCATGTAGGTTTTTTTTTTGTTTTTAAAGATTTATTTTTTATTTATTTATGAATAGAAGAACTGGGGCAGAGGCCAGAAGTGCAGGGGGTGAGAGGATTCACCAGAGACAGAGTGGGGAGCAGAACAGGCAGATCCACTGAAATACACTGCTGAGGGGAGCCGTGAGTGAGACAGAAGAGGTCTGCTGTGCCATGTGGGTCAGCAACCAGGCTGGGGATTGAACTCAGGAAATCAGGTCTTAGTCTGGCGATAACTGCAGTGGCTGGTGATAGCTTGATAGCACTGAGACTTTAACCCCTGCTCCACCAGGGAGGCCACTCTTTTCAGTTTTTAAGGAAGTTAGAGTAGATTTTGGTATGTAATATATACTGACAGAACACAGAATTTAAGGCAATACAAAGATGTGGGTCCAGATCCCATTTCCATAAGCAAGTGACTTAGTCTCTCTCAAACTCACGTTTTGTGCTACAAAATGGGAGACTTAGTATCTACTTCAAAAAGGGTTTCCTTTGGGGGTAATCAGTTGGTAGCATACACAGATGTTTAATTATAATACTGTAGCTCTGAAACCTATATAATGTTATAAACCAATGTTACTTCAATAATTTCTATCCCCCTCCAAAAAAAGGAGGGGGAGGCTTCAAGGGGATTAAATGGGTTAACACATGAGTAAGAGCAGGACTTGACAGTTAACAAAACAGTGTTTCTTTCTTTCAGTGAGTTGACTAAGGAGGAAAGCCACTAAACAGACACCATTTAATGAATATTGGAGTAAAACTGGGCTTGAGACAATATTGCTGCCACCCTTACTTTGACCTTGTTTGCTTGAAACCCGCTGACATTAAAATAAGGAGTGACTCTGGGTGATGACCTGCTAATTTGCAGAGGAGCTGATTTGATTTCTCTGTCCCAGTGCAAGGCTGGAGCTCAATGACCCACCACTAAAGTAGAGGCTGCTGAGCAGGTCTGCATATGCTTTGTTGTCTACAATAAAAGAGACTTAAGCCATGCTCAATAATTAACTGACACAGTTAATTAATTAATTAATCTTCTGACACAGTTCAAGGTGGAAAAAGTTATTGGGTTTCTCCCAGCATTCTTTATTTCTTTATTTGGGAAGCAAGGAACCTATATACAAACTATGTACTGGGGAGTCTTGATTTTGATGTGTTCATCATCCTTTTTAAATTTGGGGAACTCCTGGGCTTTAATCAGCACAAATAGCTTTGTCCAGATGATAAACTATCAGTCAAGAAAGTTTTGTGGGGTCCTCCCTGGTGGCCTAGGGGTTGAGTCTCAGCTCTACCACCACGGCTGCCCACTATGAAGGCCTGAGTTCGATTCCTGGCCAGGGAGCTGACCCACTCAGTGCTGCAGACTTCTGTCTCAGCCCACTGCTCCCCTCAGCAATGTATTTCAGTAGATCTGTCTGTTCTGTTCCTCACTCTGTTTCTGGTGAATCCTCTTACTCCCTGCCCCTCTGGCCTATACCTCAGTTCTTCTATGCAAAAATAAATAAATAAGATCTTTTAAAAAAGGAAAGTTTTGCCTGAGAAAAGAGAATCTGCAAGGGCTTCACTCTTTCTTGTGGTCTCTGGGGTCAATAAGGCAAGTCTGTTATGGCAGCTAAAACATTCTGGCTCATACACAATAGAGAGCTCCAAAGATTTTATTTTCAGGGTCTCCAAGTGAGCCCTTTGGTTATCTGAGCATTTGTGGGAGTGGGGAGTCAGTGTTTATCTTTGTTTAGTCTGCTCCTCACAAGGTTACAAAAACTAAAGCCACTAATGAATGCAGCAAGAAAAAAAAAAGAATAAAAAATTTGAAAACAAATGACTACAGTTTAACATGAAAAGAATAATTAGAAATCTAACAGTTATATATTTAAATAAAATGAAAGCATTTGTAAGTCCCTGGAAGAAATTTAAAATTACAAACAAGCAAACAGAATTTAATGCACAGAATATGATATCATTATATCAGGAATCATCTCTAGAAAGAGAGGTCTCTAAAGTTGGTGAGCTCAGCAATCACTCTGTTGCTAGCACCACAGCCGCCACCATATGTAGACAATACACCAGCAAAATTTCTAACTGGGGGGCCTCCCTGGTGACGCAAGGGGTTAATAATGACACAGCCTGAGAAGCTGTCCACAGCCTCTGCAGCATGAGTTCGATCCCTTGCCAGCCAGGGAGAAACCCACATGGCACAGCAGACCTATCCTGACACTCCCGCTGCTCCCCTCAGCAGTGTACTTCAGTAGGTCTGCCTGTTCTGTTCCCCGCTCTGTCTCTGGTGAATCCTCTCACCCCCCCACACCTCTGACCTGTACCCCACCTCTCTTGTATGCATAAATAAATAAATCTTTCAAAAGAAATTCTAACTGGTTTTATTAAGATGAGCTGCCACAACAGGTATACAACAAAGGAAGTATTGAGTTGCAAAATGCAGAAAACTTTGCTAAAAGAACTTTTACTCTCTTATATAACAGGAGGCCTGAGGTGGTATCTGGAGGTTGGTTAATTTTTCAATGACCCTGGATCTTTTCCATCTTTCTTCTCTGTCATGTTCAACTTGTTGGCATGTCCTCTCTGCTTGACTCCACTCATGGTCACAAAATGGCTGCATAGTGCTGGATGTCACAGATAATGTCCAAAACGGAAATAACTTCTCATCCAAATGGGCAATATGCACATATAAAGGCTTCATTTAAATAACAAGAGGACTAGAAAAAAAATACAAAAAAGCTGGCTCCCTGAGTATTAGTGTTCAAAATCAATCTTTTATTTACATATAGTGTTGGCTACTCCAAAGGGTTATCATACATTAGCCATAAGAGTCTTTTGAGGGAAGACAGGATCCAAATTAAATGATAGAGGCTTACCACTCTCACCTTTGCTTGAAGTCTTATCAGTCCCTTACCCCCACCACTTCTGGATTTTCTGAGTTTCCTGGAAAGGAGTATATATATATATATATATATATATATATATATATATATATGAATAAATGAAAACAATTACTAGATTAGATGCAAAACTGATTTAATATTCCACAGGGGAAAAAAATAATAATAATGACTTTGGGATTGTATCTTCAAGGTTATACAAGAGCAACAGCTTATCAATTTCTACAGCTTAATTTTACAGAACTATAAACTCTGTGCTTTTATCAGTAGTGGACAGTCAAATATACCATGACAACAGTTATATTCCTGAAAGTGTCAGATGAAAGTCAAGCAGGTGTATTAGAAAAGCTCTAGCATTATATCTTTAAAAAATCATTATTATGTGTTTTTAAAAGTTTGCATAAATTTTTCTTTCAGATACAACTTGTGTTGCATGCCTAACCAAAGTGAATGAGGACAGTTTAACTGACTTAAAGATTTTTTTTTTTCCAAACTGAAGATTGCAACCATTTAGTAGGATGGTAATCAATGTAGTAAGATTGCAACCATTTAGTAGGATGGTAATCAATGTAGTGTACGGTAAGCAGCATTTTTAAAAAATGATATTAAATATCAGACTGTATTAAACATAAGATCAAGGTTTTTTTTAAAAATATTTATTTATTTATTTATATATACAAGCACTGGGTACAGTCAGAAGCGCGGGAGGGTGAGAGAATTCACCAGAGCCAGAGCGGGGAGCAGAGCAGGCAGAAGGACTGAAGCACACTGCTGAGGGGAGCAGCGGGCAGCAGGAGAGGTCTGAGCGCCATGTGGGACCCTCCTCCGGTGGCCGGGGAGCAGCCGGGGATCGAACCGGCGCTGCAGAGGCTTCGGGCAGCTTCGCAACCCAGCGCTCAACTGCTGCGCCACCGGGGAGGCCCTAAGATCAAGTTTTATGTGTGTGCATATGCATGTGTGTGTTGGATTATAAAACGTAGTTCCTAATATGGGTAATGATGAAAAAGTTTGAAAGATCACTTAAGACTCATTATGGAGCCTGCAAAGGAAACCACATAAAACAAATTGCTTGGGAAAAAATGATTAGAATCAGTCTTTTGCCCTTGAGGAGAAGCTGGGAACAGCTGTTAGGTAGAAACCAGCAGAGCTGGCTATGACAGGAGGCTGGCAGAGTGGGGCTTGATTCTGTTACCCTCATCCTCAAACTCTATGAACTCAGAGAAATGTCTTACACACCTTGGGTGCCATGTGACTTTAAGTGACCCATTACTTGCTTCATTGTTTCAAACTCAGGATGGCCCAAATACCATAAAAGCCATCCTTTATTTCCCTTTGTGATACTAGTTTCCCAAATACCTGTTTGCCTTCACTCACCAAGTTAACAGAAATTTTATCTGGGCAGATGCTCACCCAGCTAAAGACTACATTTCCCAGCTTCCCTGGAGCTAGGTATGATCATGTGACAATAAATGCTGGTGATGCAACCTGCAGGAGTGATGTACACAAATTCAGGACATGTCCTTAAAGGATGATTAGGCCTTGCCTTTCCTCTGCCTCATTCTGCACCATGGAGTAAGGATTCCTTTGGGAACACATGGAAAAAGGCAATACCTTAGAGATGGAGGAGCAACAAAATAGGAATTGGCCAGGTCCCTGACAGGTGCTACTATACCAACCCTGGATTATTACACCAGCAAGATATTAAACTTCTTTCTTGTCTATGCCATGGTATTTTGAGTCCCTATTATGGCATCTTATAGCTATATCTTACCTAATATCCTCTCAGTAGAAAATGGTGGGAGTTTAAGGGCTAAGTTACAGCTACTTGGCACATCTGATTTTAAGGACTTTAAACTGTCACTCTCAGATGGTGACTGTCCTAATGTCTGGGTTCCAAAATCCAGCTGGATGAGGATCAGACAGAAGGTGAGAGAAAAATAGTTCCTGCTCATGACAAGAGCTACTTAGATTAGGCCAAAACATATGATATTGTTGTGTTTTTAGGTAAAAAAAAAAAGTCAAATATTAGTAAGTTTAGCAATTTCTTAAACTTAATAGAAGTAACACTGAACTTTTCAGATAGGACACTCAGAATTCATCAATGTCTGGTACTTCAACAATTGTCCTTTCTAAAGGGCCTAAGCTGAGAGCCCAATCCTGGTGGAGGGCCCCAAAATGCACACATGGACTAAGAGCCCATGATATCTTTAGCCTGACTTCAGGTTGTGACCAGAGATGTTGACAAAACCTTGAGAAATATTATGAAGCTAACCAGATGACGTATAACTCTCTCAAGACAGACAAAGCGAAAACAACAAAGTAATGGCAGTTGGCCATGGTTTTTGGTTGGGGCTTTGTAGAGTTTGGGAGGAGGCAAGAGTCAGGTGATGGTGTGACCTAAACTCCTATGTGTGAGCTACAAAAGCAGTCTCCTTTTATGGAGCTCACTATGTGCCATATTGCAGCTGACAATCTCTTCCTGACCCCCAGTCAGTTAGGGCAGTATGATGGTTTGGCAGATGGCGAGTCTATAGTTTACATCTTTTTTTTTTTTTTAAAGATTTATTTATGCATACAAGAACTGGGGTACAGGTCAAAGGTGTGTGGAGTGGGGGGGGTGAGAGGATTCACCAGAGACATAGTGGGGAACAGAACAGCCAGGCTGACTGAAATCTACTGCTGAGGGGAGCAGCAGGCAAGTCAGGAGAGGTCTGCTGCGCCATGTGGGTAGCTCCTTGGCTGGGGATCGAACTTGTGCTGCAGAGGCTGTAGATAGCTTCATAAGTTGCATCTTAACCCCTTGAGCCACCAGGGAGGCCCTCCTATAGTTTACATCTTACAGGCCCACCAGTATGATGAACTCTGATTCTCTTGGCCTTGATTTCAAATTCCTGGGAAAGAACCTGATTGGTAAAATAGAGCAGATGTCCCTGTGCCCTGTGCCTTGCTTAGCCCATTCTGACTTTAGCTGCCACTGTACAGAACAGCTTCCATGAGACATGATGGCTTCCCATCTCGAAGCCCAGTGTCAGTATTTCTGCCTCAGAGCTTTCATTCAAAGCTTCCCATAGCTCAATAGTGTTGCACCCAGTGCAGGTTGGCATTGCAAAGTGGATTGGGGGGAGTTACCATCCCTAGCAGCAACCTCCAACTTCCAGAAGGAAGGAGGTAACCCAGTGTCCTGTCCTATAGAGGAAAAATTCTGAGGTACATTCTATATGATTCCTCCTTAAGTTCTCAGTAGAACTGAGCTCCTAAAACCAGCACTTTTTTTGTTTTCCTTCCTTCTCTGTCCACTGCCCCGTGTCCAACATTCCTACTCTGGCTATAATTACCCCTCACCTGCACCAAAATCTTTGTTTCAGGCTATGCTTTGAGGAGTACATGAACTAGATGCCCAACACAGGTCACATCACCACTCCTGAACCAATAATCTTTGGCAAGGGCAGAAACAGGGCTGCCTAAAGTTGCCCCAGGGTGTGAGGGCAGGCTGAAGGAGGCCACTATCAAAAAGTCCCTGAAGGATTGACCATCTGAATGTTTTGCATAGAGGCAAGCCAAGAAAAGTTTTGACTTATCTTTAAGAAATTTTCTGAGTATTTTGTTCTGGGAACAGAATTTATTTTTTCCATTTTATCTTTTCAGTAATATAGTGGGAGGTTAATTATTTTAAAATATCTCCAAGCTAACCTCTCTACTAAGCTCTCATTAATTCTAAGCACTGGCTCTTCCTTGGTTCAGATCATCCTTATTTCCTGCCTGATTACCATGACAGACTGCTACCTGGACTCCTTTCTTCCAATCTCATACTACCTCCAATCTGTTCTCCACCCCGAAGCAAGTAACTTTCCTAAAATACAAACCCGATCATGTCACTACCCTGCTTAAAGTTACCTAAAGCTTCTCATTATAAGTGTGCTCAATTTAATAATGCTGATGTGGTCTCTACTATCTGAAGTGATCTGGCCTCCAGTTCTCCAGCTTTATCTTCTGATTGGCTGCTTCTTACTTCCTGAGATTCAGATGCCCCAAACTTTTTTTTGTTAAGATTTATTTATTTATTTATTTTTAATTTATTTATACAAGCACTGGGTACAGTCAGAAGCGCGGGAGGGTGAGAGAATTCACCAGAGCCAGAGCGGGGAGCAGAGTAGGCAGAAGGACTGAAGCACACTGCTGAGGGGAGCAGCGGGCGGCAGGAGAGGTCTGAGCACCATGTGTGACCCTCCTCCGGTGGCTGGGGAGCAGCTGGGGATCGAACCAGTGCTGCAGAGGCTGCGGCGGGGGGGGGGGGGTGGGGGGGGGCAGCTTCGCAACCCAGCGTGCTCAACGGCTGCGGCTGTGCTGCCCCAAACATTTAAAAGAGGGCCTCCCTGGGCCTCCCCTGGTGGTGCAGCAGTTGAGCGCTGGGCTGCGAGACTGCCCACAGCCTCTGCAGCAGCAGTTCGTTCCAGGTGGGCGAGGGTCCCACCAAAAAAAAAAAAAAAAAAAATAGAGGGCCTCCCTGGTGGAGCAAGGGGTTAAGACGTGACCTATGAAGCTATCCGCAGCCTCTGCAGCACGAGTTCTATCCCTGGCAAGGGAGCTACCCACATGGCACAGCAGACCTCTCCTGACTTGTCCACTTGCACCCCTCAGCAGATTTCAGTCTGCCTGCCTGTTCTGTTCCCCACTCTGTCTCTTGGGAATCCTCTCACCCTCCCATTTCTGGCCTGTACCCCAGTTCTTGTATGCATAAATAAACAAAAAACATTTTTTTTTTTAAAAAAGCTCATTTAAAAGAACTTGTTTTCTTTAATCACCAGGTCTTTGTCCCTGCTGGTTCCTCTGCCTGGAATACCTCAGTCCTTTCTCCCTTGGCCTTCACCTAGCCAACATCTACTCACTTTTCAGGTTTTGGCTTAGACAAAATTTTCCCACCCCAGAATGGGATTACCCATAGTGTACTGCCATATTGTCATATTGTCTCATCTTTGACAGTCAAAGATAAGGATGTAAGAAGCAGACACTGCACCAAAAGTTGGACAGGGAGTGGAAGGGGAAGAGAGGAGTGTTTCCTCATTTCCAATTGTTGCATGAGTTATCTCCTCATTTGGGGAACATGGTTTAACTCAAAGCTTATTTCATTCCTTTATTTATCCCAATTGTGGGAAGATAGAATGTAACCAACCACAGCACATGAGCCATGTGAGAAGCAGAATGTGCTGAAGGAGAAGGACTTAACTTGGGGCTCCCTAAAGTAAAGCATCAATCCAATGACTCTTACGCTTTGTCAAGTTTAATAAGCGCTCAGAATATTCTAGCCTACTGTTTTCAAGGTGTAGTACACGGACAATCTGTGTCAGAATTTTCTCAAGGTTTTCTTCCTAAACCAGAAACCTCAGGGTCCAGGAATCTGTACTTCAAAGCGGCGCTGTAGATTTAGATTCACATCCAAGAAGCACATAATTCTAGGCACTGCGCTGGGGATGCCAGGGGCCTAACACTGAACAAGCTGAGCGAGGCAGGTGGCTCCTGAATTCCCAGCATATTTATGTGTGTGTGAGAGGGGGCGGAGGGGAGCGCAGCTGATTACAATAAGGTGATACCGGTGCTGAGGAGAACCAGGGAGCTCATATAGCAGATGCGCTTAGCCCAGACCAGTCAGGGAAGTTCTACAGGAAGGCCATCAACGCTTAATCTGGAGCCTGGCAGCTCTGGAGAGAATTCTGGAGCTCAGAGAACCCTGGGAGAGGCCAGCTCCCGGAGAGTGAGGTCGACGGCGGCCGTGAACGAAATGGCTGGAGGGAGGTTGTGGAGAGAGAAGCAGACGAAGAATCGAACTGTGAAGGACCCCACACCACCCCAGCCTTCCTTCTCTATAATCTGGCATTGCCTTTACTGGCCGTCTCGCGCTGCGCGGGGCGAAGCCGGCGCCCAGAGTCGCGGAGCCGCGCGCCCTGCGTCACTCACCTGGGGACCGCCGCGCCGCCCGCTGGGCCGGGGGGCGGGGCTCCAGGGGAACTAGCCCCGCCCACCCCGCTCCGCCGCCCGGAGACTGCGCAGGACGTGCCAGCCCTGCGCAATGACGTCAGCGCGCCCGGGCGCGAGGGGAGGAGTGGGAGCTGCGGATTGGGAGGTGCGGAGGCTCCGGTCAACCCGGCTGGACCGGGGAGAAGAAGGGGCAAGGCAGGGGGCCCCCTCCAGAGTGCTGGGTCGCGAACCGGGCCCGGACCCGAAGCGGGAGCCCTAGAGGCCCTACTCTAGCTTCTTCTCCCAGCAGGCTCCGCCCCGTCTGCCCGGGCGATGGAGTTTCCGGACCTCGGGGCGCACTGCTCCGAGCCTAGCTGTCAGCGCCTGGGTGAGGGGCGGAGCACCCGGGGGGCGGAGCCAGGCGGAGAGGGGCTCGGGGGCTGCAGGTGGGGCGAAGGGTGGGCTTCGGGGCTGGAAATACCGTGGAGGGCGGGGCTCCAAGTTGGGGGCGGTGGCTGAGGGGGCGTGGCTAAAGAGGTAGTGAGCCAGCGTAGGGGTGCAGTTTGTTGTGATTAGGTGGCGCTTACTTTCCCCTGAATGGAAGGCTTGAGTGAGCCGGAGCGTTGTTGAGATCCTACTGGACCTACAATTCGACCTATTTCCTGCAGATTTTCTGCCTCTAAAGTGTGACGCCTGCTCGGGCATCTTCTGTGCAGACCACGTGGCCTACGCCCAGCATCACTGTGGATCTGCTTACCAAAAGGTGCTGGGGCGGTCCTGAGGGTGAAGGGGGGCGGGTGGAGGATGCATGCAGAATCCCTAATCCTTCTGTTTCCCTTTTCCTCTCCTCTATTGTCTTTCTGAGGTTTAGTGCTGGAAACATTGTGTTGGTGGGGGTGACACCCTCTTTCTTTCAGGACCAGAGATTTGATTAGACTGGGATTGAACCAGAGATTGACCCTTTGCTCCTTAACTATAGGATATACAGGTACCCGTGTGTCCACTCTGTAATGTTCCTGTGCCTGTGGCCAGAGGGGAGCCCCCTGACCGTGCTGTGGGGGAGCACATTGACCGAGACTGTCGCTCTGATCCAGCCCAGCAGAAACGTAAAGTAAGCTTTGGAGAGGTTAGCCGTGACCATCTGGATGCATGGAAACCTGAACAGGGGTTGCAGAAAGGGGTCAGAGTTTGAGCTGAGACAAATCTTCTCATTCTACCTCAGATCTTCACCAATAAGTGTGAACGCTCTGGTTGCCGGCAGCGGGAAATGATGAAACTGACCTGTGAACGCTGTGGCCGAAACTTCTGCATCAAGCACCGTCACCCACTGGACCATGATTGCTCTGGGGAGGGGCACCCAACCAGCCGGGCAGGGTAACGGCAACCCAGTCCTCTACTTAAGACCATCCTGCCACTTTGGGGATTGACTCAACCTCTATCATTAAAAGTTGGGGAGCTTCAGCCCTGTCCCCTTTGACTAGGAAAGTCTTGGCTTCCTTTTCAATTACATACTTTCCTAGTTTGTTTGGAGGAACTCTCCTCTGGGCTTCCTGGGTAAGGAAGCATGCTAGCTGATTGCTCTTGGAGGCATGCCAACTGTTTTTTCCCTGCAGACTTGCTGCCCTCACCAGAGCACAAGGTTTGGCTTCTGCAGGCACCATCTCCAGCCCAAGTCGGACCTTGCATTCATCTACCTCTCCCAGCAGGTAGGCCTGCCCATTTCTCCTCTTTTTTCCCCCATTACACCTCAGACCCCCAACCTCTTGAATATCTGCCATAGAGCCACAGCCCAGTCTCCATCACGGACATCCCCACCAATGATTGCTCTGCAGAATGGTTTGGTGAGTTGGGCAGAGGTTGAATGGATAGAAGCAAACGTACACAGAAAGTAAAGTCCAAGGCAACCAGTCTTCTTTCTCCTTTTGCAGAGTGAGGATGAGGCTCTGCAACGAGCTCTAGAACTTTCCCTGGCAGAGGCTAAACCCCAGGTCCCAAGGTACCTACTCTTGTGAAAGAGTGTGGGATGTGGGCAAGGGTTCAATTAAGAGGGATGTCGGTGGGAACACACCCATCTGATGCAGGGTAATAGTCAGGAAATTGGGCTCACCATTAAGCTTATGGGCAGTATGATTGCTGATAAGTTCTTAGACTTGCTAAGGTTTTAATTTCCTCTATAAAATGGGAACAATACTAATAACCTACTTTGTATGGTTGTAATGCAATTGGATGCCACATTTTCATATTATTCTCATCTAACTTAAGCTGTTCCTTCCAGTTCTCAGGAGGAAGAAGACTTAGCTTTAGCACAAGCACTATCAGCAAGTGAGGCAGAATACCAGCGGCAGCAGGTATGGGGATGGGATAGAGATGGGGTCCTGTGCTAGGAGGGAGGGAGGGCTGGTAACCTGGGGACAGTGTTTCTTCCAGTGGAAGATGTTTGGGAATGGTTGTTACCCTTTTCAGCATGACTGCAGACCATGCTAAACTCAAAATGAGGACTGCTTCCTCAGTTCCTTGATGTCCTCCTGTCTTCCCCTCTTCTTGCTCCAGGCTCAGAGCCGCAGCTTGAAGCCATCCAACTGCAACCTGTGTTAGGGCCCTGGGCTTGGGGAGGGAGGCTCTGCTGAGAGGACTGTGGCCCTTATACCGTGGGGTCCACAGGGAGAGGAGGCCCAGAACAGCTGGGAGTGAAGACCAGGAGGACCGATGAGGAGCCTCCAGTGAACATCAGAAGAAATAGCTGGTGGAACTGAGCTGACAGAAGGCCCTGCCGGCCTCACTAGCTGCCTGGGAGAGAGTGGCTATTTACTGTTCCCTGGTTGGGTCCTTGGAAGGGGCTGGCCAGGGCCCGCACATTCCCCTCTACACTGGAGCTGCCCCCATGTGCAGGGAGCAGGAAGGGACCTGGAAAGAATAAAGGATCTTGGCAAAGACATCAGGTGGTGTGCTGCTTTCCCTTTCCAACCCCACACAGAAGCGTCCTACGAAGAATGCTCATCTGACCTAGGGATAGAGGCCGTTGCAGTAACCTATACCACAAAGTCACGGTGATCCTATCACAGTCCACATTTTTATTCCCCCAAAAGGGCTTTCCTGAAAGGTGCCTTTCCCTCGTGATAGCTAGCACCGTACCCGAAGACCAGGTTAAAACATGCCAGGGAAGAGGGATACAGTTTATTCCCCTCTTGAGGTATCCTTTAGGAAGAGCCACAAGTTTTGTCACTATTTAGTTGGACTTGGGATCTTCAGAGACTTCCTCTTGTCCCTGCTGCTGCAGCTGCCACATGTCCGCATACACCCCACCTCGAGACAACAGAGCTTCATGCCTGGGGCAAGAAAGAAAGCATGAGTTCCAACTATCAGTTCTACCCCAAGAGTCCTCATGACAACCCATAGAGATGACACAGTGGACTGGTGAGAAAAATCCCATCCAGGAACCCCTGGGATTTCACCACCATTTCCTGGGGTCCCCAACTCCAAGGCCCTGTGCTGTTTATCCTGCTTACCGTCCTCTTTCTACAATGCAGCCATCCTTGATGACGAGGATCTGGTCAGCACTGACCACAGTTGAGAGCCTGACAAGTCAAGAGATAGTTACCCACAGCCCCACTAAAAGTGCAGCCTCTCCCTGCTGCCCCTGACTGTACCTGTGTGCCACTATGATGGTGGTGCAGGAGGTGCAGACTTTGGCCAGTGAAGCTTGAATGGCCCGTTCGTTAGACGTATCCAGTGCTGATGTGGCCTACAGAGAGGGTCTGGGTCAAACTGCCCCTGCCTCCCAAAATCCCCAGAGGAGGGTGGAATCAAACTGCTAGTTGAGGTTTCGGGAATAAAAAAGAACTTGGTCTGAGCTTTGGAACTGTAAGGTGCTTTTGTTAAACACCTTAGCCTTGGTAGGTCTAGCCTTGGTAGAAAACCATGATGGGCCTGGCACGGGCACGGACAGGGGAGAGGGGGTAGGAGGAGGCCTCCTGGGGCCCTCACCTCATCCAGCAGAATGATGTCTGGAGCCTTGAGAATGGCACGTGCGATGGCCACACGCTGCTTCTCCCCACCACTTAGCTTCAGTCCCCGCTCGCCCACCTGCGTCTCATACCCTGTGGACAGTGTCCATCTCCCTCAGGCCAGAGGTAATAAGCTTGGTTTCTGTGATCAGAGGTCGGGGGAGAGTAACAGGACTGAATGGGGAAGGGCAGGGAGTCCACAGGGAGGCGCACCTTCAGGGAAAGCCAAAATGGCCTCGTGGATGCCGGCAGCCTGAGCAGCCGCCTCCACCTCATCATTCCTAGCTGTGATGCGGCCATAGCGGATATTGTTGGCGATGGTGTCATTGAAGAGGACAGTGTCCTGGGGCACAACTCCAATGTGAGATCGGAGAGAATTCTGGGTCACCTGTGGCCAAATGACCAAAGCGCTGAATGGTGAGACACCCCGAGGAGGAATCCTGCCACCTCCCCAAGTCCTAGCTGTGTGGACACGTCACTCAACCTCTCTCAGTCCATCTCCTTACCTCTAAAGGGAAAATGCATTCTCTCCCTGCCTCCCTGAATCACCGCAGATCTTTGTACCTTGGTGGCACCCTACAAATCATTCCGACTACTGGCCGAAGTCAAACGATGCTAGAAAGGCTGAAGTCTCTGACCTCAACTTTTTGCAGGGGAAATATCTCCCTCTCCTCTCCCTGGAGGCGCAGCGCTGGCCATTCTTTCACACCTATATCCCTAAGCCAGTCTTCTCTTAAGCAGCCTTACCTGTGAAATATCCTGCCCATCTATTCGGATGCAGCCAGAGTTGACATCATAGAAGCGAAACAGCAGGCGCAGAACTGTGCTCTTCCCTGCACCAGATGGGCCCACCTATTGCATTGGGAACAGGGAGAATGTTCTCAGATCTGCTGGCTTTCAAGGTTTTCACCCCAAGAGGCCACCCATGTCAATGGAGACAGCCACATTCAATCCTGTGACCCATGAGGCATGGCTCTCTGACTCCACAGCTTGGGACACCAGCTGCCATGGGCAGTGGAATGAAGGAAGTCGGAGGAGACTGCATCAAGTAGATCTCTCACCAGGGCGAGTGTCTGTCCAGCCATCACGGTGAAGGACACATCCTTCAGGGTCTCCTGCCTGCAAGAAAGGAGGTTATGGTCAGCAGACCTTCTGTACTACTGGAAACCCTTCCAACCCAGAGGGATTACTGGGCCCTGTCCCTCCCTTACTTGTCCCCTGCTTAGGTTCTCTTCTCAGGTGGTAAAAGGGGAGAGCTCACCCATCAGTGTAGCTGAAGTGTACATTCTCAAACTCAATCTGGCCCCTCTGAAAGCGAAGAGGCCCGGCCCCAGGAACGTCCTTCACCTGGGAGAATAGCACTAACATAAGCCTCTGCTACAGGTACAGTGTGTCCTTGACATAGGGGACACCACCACACAGGCTCCAGCTCTCCTGAAGCCACACTCCTCTCTTCACTCACTTCTTTCTCCTCTTTCAGCAGATCAAACATGTTCTCCATGTCAATGAAGTTGGTCTGTATCATCCTGCAAGAAGACGCTAGTTGGGGCTCCTCTGAGCCGGGGAAATGACCACTATGGACAGGTGAAGGCCAGAGATCAGTTACCTGTAGTAGGTGCCAAACCAGTTGAGGGGCATGTACAGCTGGATAATGTAGGTGCCAAAGAGCACAAAGTCCCCGACCTGTGCAGATCCAGGAACGAGAACAAGTCAGACTTGTGGGCTGTTATCCTGCCCACTTCCTGTCACCCATGTGCTTCCTACCCAAGAGCTCAGGGGCCCAGACATAGGTCCCTCTTTCCTGTCCTCAGCACAGTTCCCTCACCTGTAGCTTCTGCTCACTGACAAAGTATGCACAAAGGAGGGAGCCAGCGAGAAGACCGAATCCAATCACCAGGTTCTGGGTCTGGTTGAGCATCACCAGCGAAGCACTTGACTTCCACTCCAAACCCTGACGACAGGACCATGGAAGGGAGGGGGATCATAGACTCACTGACCATCTCCCAATCCAAACCCGGGCCGTCTCACATTTTATTCCTTTTAGTCCTGGTGATTCCACATGGCCAGGTCACTGCTCTCAGCAAGCTTCCAACTAGCAGCCTCACCTGGTATTTGATGATGGCCTCTTGGTAACGTTCTACTTCATAACTCTCCGCGTTGTAGTACTTCACCTGATGAGTTCAAACCACATTGTGTGACACTGATGCAGCTGTCAGCATCCCATTCTTTCTTCAGATTCCCAATCCCTCCTAATTTTCAACATCACACCTTGCACACTTCTCCCACCCTCCAGCTCATCAGTCCTGCTGGTGCCTCACACCACTGCCACCAAGGCCTCCATTACCGTCTCAAAGTTTAGTAAAGAGTCCACAGCTCGTGCCCGGGTAGCATTCTCCTGTGTGTTCATGGCACGTCGAAACTTGGTTCTCCACTCAGTGACCACAATGGTGAGGGCTGTAGAGTGACAGGAGGAGGGGAAGGGAGAAGACATCAAGACATCATCCCTGACAGCTGAGACCATATGATGTCTGCTACCTGCCACATACGCACAGCCTGTCACTATAGCTCAGGGACCCAGATTCCAAAGGGAGAGAGCCCTAAGGTCCCCGAGGGAAGCAGCTGTGTTTAAGACATCTCTGCAGCTTGCACAAAGCCTCACATGGTGAACCAATGCAGGTGAGCTACATCTCATTACATGACCCCCCCTTCTTTAAAGATTTATTTATTTATACAAGAGTTGGGGTATAGGCTAGAGGTGCAGGAGGGTGAGAGGATTCGCCAGAGACAGAGCTGGGAGAAGAACAGGCAGACAGACCGAAAACACTGCTGAGGGGAGCAGCGGGCGAGACAGGAGAGGTCTGCTGCACCATGTGGTATCTCCCTGGACGGCTGGGAAGTGAACCCATGCTGCAGAGGCTGTGGACAGCTTGACAGCGCTGTGCTCAACCAACTGTGCCACCAGGGAGGCCCTCGTTACATGACCCCTTGACCTGCATTCAGTGCGGGCACCTAAGGTATCCAGGATGCTCTTTCTAGGCCTTCCATCCAGGCTGAGTTAAAGTCTACTTGGCAGAGAAGGAGGCCCCCCGTCAGGTTGGGGAGCAGCAGGAACCTACTCAAGCCCACTGATCTACAGCCTCGCAGTGCTGGGTCACCCGAGTGTGGCAAGGTTCACAGCCAAAGGCGTCCCCGAATTGTTAGGGAGATGGTTACGCTGAGCATCACTCACTGAGGTAAAGACTCATGCACAGGAACACGATGAGGCCAAACCAGGCATTGAAGAACATGCTGAAGTAGATGATGCCGATGATGATGTCAGCCAGAGTGGGGATGACGTTGAACACCAGGTAGCTGAGGGGAGTCAAATGACAAAGACTCATGGGTTCAGGGCCAGAGTGTCAGTGGAGTGTTTTTTTTTTTTTTTTTTTAATTTTAAAAGACTTTATTTAGAGTAATCAGAATCTTAATTTTCTTTTCTTTTTAAAATTTATTTATTTATACATGCACTGGGTACAGTCAGAAGTGCAGGAGGGTGAGAGAATTCACCAGAGCCAGAGCGGGGAGCAGAGCAGGCAGTAGGACCGAAGCACACTGCTGAGGGGAGCAGTGGGCGGCAGGAGAGGTCTGCGCGCCATGTGGGACCCTCCTCCGGAGGCCGGGGAGCAGCCGGGGATCGAACCGGCGCTGCAGAGGCTGCGGGCAGCTTCGCAGCCCAGCGCTCAACCGCTGCGCCACCAGGGGAGGCCCGGAGTGTTTTATTTTTAACAGCAACAGACTGGAATCACCTCAGGAGGTGGATGGCTAGATAAATCATAGCATGCCCAAACTACAGAGAGCTCTGTATCAATGACAGTGACGGAGGGAGGGCTTCACACACACGGTACATCCCCATGAAGCCACTCAGAATGATACCTGAGTCACGATACCACTTGTTTTAAGAAAAACCTCCACAATGCCACAATTCTGAACCCAGACATATACATGTGAAAATGCCAACAAGCAGAACTCACTATACCAAACAGAGTGGGAACCTTTGGAGAAGTGAGTGGAATTCAAGAGATTTGTTCTCTGCCTCCATTATTTGGGTTATTACGAGAGCATGAGGAACAGCTCCTCAGCCAGGATGTTCTCTGACAGATTGCACCCCTGCTTCTCCAGCGCCACCCTCCCACACTCCCCTGCCACAAGCTTGGCACCTGAGCAGCCCAGTGACGCTGGATGTGCCCCGGTCCACAATCCTCAGCACCTCCCCAGTGCGGCGCCCCAGGTGCCAGCGCAGTGAGAGGTCGTGTAGGTGGGAGAAGAGGCGCAGTTCCACCCGGCGTGATGTGAACTGCTGCACCCGGATCCACAGGAACGTGCGCAGGTTGCTCACAAAGCCTGGGGGTTGCCAGAGGAGGCCTCAGAGCTGGCCGAGGGGCTGGATGGCATCATCCCAGCACGGACACATGAATGGTCTGTGAGCACCAGGGGTCTGTGGGGGGCACTCTCAGGAGGAGGGGGACGGGCCAATACCAACCAGGGTGAGAATAGAGGCCCTCATACCTGTACTGCCAGTGCCACCCCCCTGGAGGAACTTGAGGAAGACGTAAGTTGTAACAGTCCAGGCTAGGGAGCTCCAAGGTGCCTTCTCAGTCAGCAAGTTCACTATAGAGAAAAAGAGTCAGCCACTCTGGCATCTAGGACTCTAGAAGAAGCTGCCCCTGGCACCAGCCACAGCCTTTCCCCACCACCCAGCTCCCAATTCTGTCCTACCTTCCTCCGTTGGGGCCCCCACCCACCAGGCCAATGAGGGAGTGGAATGCTGGCACTCTTCCTCCTCCTTACCTATGTCCCTATAGAAGATGGGGACCAACACGTTCAGTCCCCGGTCCAATCCCATGAGCCCCAGGCAGATGAGCACCACGAACTGCAGAGCTGGACTCCCCCGAGGCCACAGGTAGCCACTCAGTAGGCGGAGCTTCCTGCCAAGGTCTCTCCAGGTAGACTGAGATGGCCCCTCTGCGGATGGAACCTAGGATGGTGAAATACATAGGGGAGGAGAGCTCAGAAATCAAAAGGAAGTGCATTTACTGGAAACTCTCTAGGAAAAACATAGGATTACAGCTCCTAGGATTCTTAGTCCCTGAAGTGATCTCTGATGGGATCAGAGAGGCTAAGTGCATAAACTGAGATTTGAGAAAGTGGCAGTTTATTATGGTGGCAAGGAATGATAACAGGGAATGAAATCAGCAAAGACTCTAAGGTTCAGAAATTGACATGTACCTGGCTCCTCTCTACATCTTGATCCTCTTCATTCACCTGTAAGGTGTAGGACTGGGGCCGAAGTCCAGGGGCCCAGAGCCCCAGGACAAAAAGCCCTCCAGAGACCACATACCTCAGCACCCACAGGCTAAACTGAACCTAGAATGAAATAAGGGGTATCAAGGAGGGCCAAAAGCCTACTGTTACTACTTGTAGCAGGGCTGGAATGTGTAGGACACACACCCAGGTCCTCCTCAGGGCCCCAGCATGTAACAGGTTTAAAAAAAAAAAAACACAAACCACAGTGACTCAGCACACACTCCCCACCAGCTGGCTATCAGCTCCCAGACACTGGCGGCCCCTCCCTTTTTCCCTTTCTTACAGGCATTCCAAAATGTGGAGCTAATAAAAGCAGACATGCGTCTGTCTTCACAGCCCGCTAATGCTTCCCCTCTCCCTACAGGTCCCTCACCTGCTGGCCCAAGTCTGCCCGTGCCCACCACCACTGTGGGTTGTTCCAAGACACCAGGGCCAAGTTCTCCGCTGCAAACGCCACAGTCCAGAGAAACAAGAGACCTGGGCTGTGCCTGAACTTGATCCAGATGCCCATTGCTAGCTTCTGCCGCGCCTGTCTCCGTTCCACCACAAGCAGCCACAGGCCACAGGCGCTGGCCAGAGTCTTCAGCACAGCGGCCAGCAGTAGATAACCTGGCAGCGGGGACCCCTGGGCAGTGCCCACCCGACCAGCCAGGCTGGCTAGTGGAAGCGACAACTGAAGCGTGGCCAAAAGCAGCTGCAGCCCGTAGGGAGCCACGCGAGGACCGGCCCCCCAAGACAGTGCATCGGCGCCAGCAAGACGCTCCCGACGTTTGCAGGGAAGTGCCAGCACCAAGGCCAGAGCTCCCAGGGCCATCAGCGCCGAGGGCACCAGCGTGAAGAAGAAGCAGGGACTCAGGCCACCCTGCGTCCAGACCGGGCCCAAGGGCCCTTCGGCCTCGCAGTAGTTGCCCACAGTCACCATGGCAGTGCGTGGCCGCCGGCCAAGGCTGCGGGGGCTGCGGGGCGGGAAAACCGGACCGGCGGTCAGGGGCGGGGCGCGGATGCCCGGGCGTCACGGGTCATGGAGGCCGCGGGCGCCCCGCCGCCGGGGTCGCGGGCCCGGGCGCACGTGTGCCCGGCCACGCCGCCCACTGCTTCGCGCACGCGCCGCGCCACGCACTCACGCAGGGTACGTACAGTCTCCGCCCGTCGCGCGTCCGCCCCTCGCAGGCGCCGGGACCCTCCTGCCAGGGGCCGGCGCGCAGGAGCGTCCGGCGCCCGCGGGATCCGCACGCGTCCGCGGCAGCAGCCCCCGCCCCGCGGAGCCGCCCCCGGCCCGGGCCCCGGCTCCCCATTGGCCGGGCGTCCCGGGGGGCGGGGGGAGAGGCGCGCGCGGAAAAGGCAAAATACGGGGCCGGCCCCGCCAGGTCACGTGCCCAGAGCGGGAAATCTGACCGCACGTCGGGCGGGAGAGCTTGACCTCTACGGAGCTAGGGGTGGAAGCAGCCCCCCCTCCCCCCCCCCCGGGGCCGGCCGGCTCCGTGCGGCCGCGCCACGGCTGCGCCCACGTCACCGCGGGGCGCCGCCGGCTCCCGGGGGCCCACACGCGCCCCGCTGCCTGCCTTCCCCAGCCCCACCCCGCGAGACAACAGGCCGTGCTCAGGTCAAAGTCCCTTCTTTATTAAGGGTTATCAAGCTGTACACGATGCCCACTCCTTCCCGCTGTGACGTCCACGGCAGCGCCCATTCCCCACTCGCCGCTAAGGACGGAGCCGGGGGAGGGGTGGGGCGGAGGGTAGGAGTTGGGTCCCAGCATGCAATGCGGCAGCCCAGCGCCTAGGGCGCAGCCGTCCAGTCGCCCCTCCATCCCCCGCCAGGGGACAGCGGGATGCAAGCCAGAGCTCTCCTACTGGGAGGTAGACAGCAGAGGACATTCCAGCCCTGTCCGTCCCATGTGCAGGTGGTGGGGATACAATAAGCAGCATTGGGGGGCAGGAAGGCCTCCGTTTCCCAGGGGCCGATCCTACCCTACAAGTTGGTGAGGGCAGCAAAAAACTTCCATTCTGTTCCCACAGTTTTGAAACCTTCCTTCTTAGTGTCAAAAAATAGCATGAGGGGAGCTGGGGGCGACACGCCAACGCAAAGCAAAAGCTGAACAGAACGGAGCAAGCGAACACACATGCCGGTGATGTGCAGGAAGCAGGACAGAGGTGAGCAGGCTGCAGCGCTGGGAGAGAATGAGGGTGAGGTAAGGGCCGCAGCCTGAGCTGCACGTCTGTTCAGGGTGGGGGGAGGGCACTGCAGAGGTTGAGGGTCCAGGCCCAACCTCCCCCTTCCACAGTTGGCACAGGCTCTCCCTGCTTGGCAGCTTCTGTGGCAGACAGTCCTCTGTAGACTTGCAGGGGTGGGTGCAAAGGTGGCAGTACTGGGGCTGGGCTGGGGACCAGTTTCTAGCACCACACTCTGAGCCAAGGGGGATCCTGGGGATGAGACTAGAGTCCTGTGTGCCCTGATTCTAGGCCCCCAGTTTCTCTCCTGGGGCTGTGGCAAGCCCAGCGTTGGCACCTCCCTTGGCCAGGCACGGACACACAAACACCACACGCGTGGAGCTAGGCAACACTCAGAGGAGCCCTCCATGGTGGGTGGATGGGATGGCAGAGCAACGGTGGCCACCATCCTGGGGCATAGGGACCCTCATCAGCCTTGTCTATACCTGTGGAGAGAAAAGGCTTGGTGGTGATGATAGTCTTCAGCTATTATTGGCTAACCCTATGAACCCTAGAGATCAAGGAAAAGGAAGCTTGATTCTTAGGGAGGGAGGCAAAGGAAAAACCCAGCACTGGACATCAGAGTAAGTGAGGGATGAAAGGGCTTTTCATAGGGTGCCCAAGAGGGCCGCCTCCCTTCACATAAGAAGCTTTGCCAGCTTGGAAGTAACAACTTCTGGCAGTTGTTCCCGGACCTGAGCCCTTACCTTGTGCACCTGCGGAGGAAGCTCATCCTCTGAGCCCTCCTCGGGCACGGGCTCTGGGTGTCTTGATGCTGACTGCCCATCTTCGGCCCACCCTCCAAGGGGCAGCCGAGAAAAGTGAGAGGGAGCCCGGGGCACTGTGCCGGGATCTAGAGAAACAAGTAAACATACCTTTAGAATGAACACAAACAGGACTGAGAAGGGTTCTGGGCTGCTGGAGGACCGGTAGAGATTAGTCTCCTTGGACCTGATCCCTCTGACATCTTTCCCCCCCTAGAAGCCCCACACCCTTCCCTGAAGGCTCTATGCCCTTCTGGACCCCCAATGGATACCTGTGATGCCCCCATATCGCCTCTGGAAACCCCCCTGGAGGGCAGTAGTCTCTGGTGCTCCAGGCCGGGATGCAGCACAGGGATAGCTGGCAGAACGGGGGATGGGTTGAGAGGCCCGGCCGCCCTCTCCCCCTTCTTCAGGAGCACTCTCCCCACTCTCATCACTCTCCCGACGGTGCCAAACATGCCGCTCAGGTTCAGCCTGCGCCTGCTGCTTGTGGAGCTGGTAAGTGGGAGGCTAGTTAGTTGGGGATGGAAGGATGTCTGAACCACCACCACCACAGCACCAGCCCTTTCCCACTTATACCATCCCACGGAATCCACTACCCAGAGTATCTACCACGTACATGGCACGTAACGTACATATGATGTATTACAGGTTAAAATTCCAGCAGATCCCTGGGACAAGCTTGTGCCTAATCTGTGATGAGTCTCATTTTTACCTACTCATTTGATTCATGAACAAAATGGTTGTGGATCTAAATGCTAAGCATTTGTTTAGGCACTGGGATATAGCAGTCAATAAAACTGACAAAAATTCCATCCCGTGCAGGGTTTAAATACTGGGGCTCTGAGGGGTGGGGTTGGATGGACAATAAAAAAATAAGGAAAAATTGCCACATGTCAGATGGTGCTAAATGTTGTGGAGAAAAACAGACCATAAAGACTCAGGAGGGTCGACAAGGGTGCGAAGGGGTTTTTACCCAGGGTGACCAGAGAAGGTCTCATGGAAAAGGTGAGAGCAGAGACCTGAACAAGGAGAAGGAGGGAGAGCCAGCTGGATAGCTCAGGGGTGTGGATTCTTGTCAGGGAAACCAGAGATGTGGAAAGGCCCTACATGAGAGGAAGCTTGACTGTAAGGAAGATGGGATGGGCATATGTGGTGATGGAGACTGAAGAGTACATAAATGGCAGAGAAGGGCTCCAAACCCATAACTTGGTTCTCCACATCTAAAACCTGCTGCCACTTTTCAGTTTCCACCTCGGTTATGTGGCCTCGCCCACTCACCTGGTGCATGTAGAGCGCATGCAGGCTCATCTCGGTGGATGCATATTCTGACAGCACCAGGCTCTGCAGCTGTCCTTCCCACACACTGCTTCCGGAGCTGGCTGTCCTCGCATCCACTCTGTCCCTCCCAGCACAGACAGTGTCATCAACATCTGAGACCCACACAAGTTGCTGAGAGTCACTCTGGTGCCCTCCCATCTTGGCCTACCTCTACTCACCCAGAGCCTGTCATGGTGCTGGGAGCCCGGCCCGTGGGAACCTGACCAGATTGCAGCGGGGAGAAGGAGCGCAGGGCAGAGGCGACTTCAGCCCTGTGCCTGGAGGCCTGGAGGTCTCTGGACAGCGGGGGGCCCCGGCAGGATGAGCCAGCTACCACATTTGCAATAAGGCTCAATGGCTATGAAAGAAAGAGGTGGGTAGAATTCTCAGGAGAGAGGAGGGTCTTCTAGGTCCCCTACTGTTCTGCATGTCAGAACCCAATGGCACAGACTGGACAGACAGACAGAAGCAAAGCAGTGGGGCAGCCCTTCCACCCATGCCCCGTCACTCTTGGGAGTTCACTCTGCTGGTCACCTTCCAGTCCTCAGATACACACCTCAGACTCAGACTGTAAGGACTGGATAGACGTAAAGAGGGCGTTTTCAGGGAGCAGACCCCCTTGGGCGAGGCTAGCAGCTGCTCCGTCCCGCTGAACCTGCTCCTTGAGGAAGCCTAGGAAGGCCGTGCTCTCACGTGGTGGCTGCCAGCCAGGATTGGTGATGGCAAAGTGCATGAGTGACAGCTCTGTCTTCCCATCCTCCGCTTGCTGGTACACCGAGGCCTCTGTCTGCCCACCGGAGAGCCACTGCACAAGGGAAGCTACAGTGAGCACAACTGTCCCCCCTTCCAGCTAGGGCGAGGACTTGCCCCTAGAGGACAGAGACCATAGTGCAATGACGTATCTTGTCCAGAAGCCCTGGTGCCCACCCAGGAGTGGCCACACCCTTGCTTTCTCAAGGGTGTAAGTTTGGGACTAAAATCCAACCAGGCTCCTGCTTATGAAGTAGTGTGTACCCTGGTTCAGGTATGCCCAAAGGCAGCCTGCCCTTTTGTGATTTATTGGCCAGAGGGGATGCCTTTTGGCAGTTTGCCCAAAGTACTATAGCATCACCTCTGGCCCCTGCCCTCGCTCTTCTCCCAGTATCTCCCAGTACCTGTGGATGTCCGTGCTGGCGAACATCCATCTGCGCAAAGGAGCAGGTATCTCCAACGCCAACGACCTCCACGGTGAAATTACGGAAGAAGTCTATAATCTCCAGAGCCCGTGGGCGCAGGCAGAAGATGAGGATGAGGGGTGTAACAATGGGGCTCAGTAACTCCTCCAAGATGAACACCTAAAAGGGAGGGGACCGAGGTCACAGGCAGCAGGGGGGCTCCCAGCCCTCACCACCGAGCTATCGGCCAGTCTCTAGCAGGCCCTAACTCCAACTCCACTCACTGCCTTGTACTGGAAGAGCTGGGCAAACTCGTCCCGGGTCTGCGAGCGGTGGGCATTACCCTGCCAGTGGTCAGGCATGTAGTGGATGTGAGCGAGGATCACGCGGAGCAGCTGCTCAGGGCAGAACACCATGTGCTGGTCCGGGATAAAGGACCTAGTGGGAGCAGGGTGAGGGTGAGTTGGAAGCCTTACCCAAAACGCTGGCCGGCTTGCCCCCCTCCAGCCGCCCTGGCTCACCTGCACACAGTCACAGTGA